CAAATTCTATTAATAACGAGAGAACATGAAACCATACACCACAAAGCAAATTTTTTTAAGATCAGAAATTTATTCTTGCCACATATGAAGATATTTTAGATTAAATACTTATTCCAGTACTTTGGTACTGCAACTGCATACAGATGGAAACGTTTCATTAAATAATAATATACTGTAAAATCAAAGTAGCAAAAGCCTATCCCTATCAATGCTAAAAGAAGTGAGATCGTCATCTTAAAGGAAACCTGTACTGAAAAAAGGGAAAGCAGTATGTTCCATAAAAAAAAAAAAAAAAAACATGGCAGATGTTTGATAAAAAGGGGTTTATTTACTAAAACTGGAGCGTACAAAATCTGGTGCAACTTTGCATAGAAACCAATCAGCTTCCATGTTTTATTGCCAAAGCTTAATTGAACAAGCTGACTTTAGAAGCTGATTGGCTACCATGAACAGCTGCACCAGATTATGCGAGATCCAGTTTTAGTAAATCTCCCCCACGGTGCTTTTACAAGCCAAATGTCATCTAGTTAAGGTTTCTATCTCCTTTATTGGAAATAAAAGGAAGTCCAATACTGACCAGTGTTTAAAGAACACCGAGCACCTGAGTAACTGGGTGATCAGTGACAGAAATGTTCTTCAAAAGTCATCTACACTATAAACAGGTAAAGTTGGAAAACCCTTTCTGGCCTTTGGAGTATGTTTAGTGACTGGTAGAATCTAGAAAGGTTCTAATTTGCTCTTTACAGGCTTCTTGTTATTAAAAATTTAAGTTGGATATATAATCTCTATGGCTAAAAGGAGAACATCCAGAAATCCATGCACATAATTTCTGGAAACAAATAGAACACCCTAACTGTGTGGTATGTTAAAAGCCGCACAACTTGAAGTTTGACCACAGATAATGATTGAGAACATTCATTGGGGTCTAAGAAGTGTTGACTTCCTGCCAGGAGACTCTGGAATCCAGAGCTCTGCTGCATTCTGCTGGAAAAGGTTTCACACTGCTTGTGTTGCTGAAGGTGATGGTCATTGTGCTGTTCTGATGTTGGAAGGCTAATAGGCCCTGGAAAAGTACTCTTAGCCTTAGTATACTCGATGACTTGGTTGACCGGAGAGGACTACCTCCTCCCTGTCCTTGGTGATCTAGACATTTGGTTCTTTACTCCAGGCAAACTGATATATGAAGTAAGAATAATTTCCAGTCTTGAGAATAGTCAGGTTTAAAATAGCAGACTTTGTAGATCGAAGGAACTCTTTGGCTTTCTCCAAAGGCAAATCTGTCCGAATGTAGTAAACAAGAAGTAAGCTGATTCATTGTGATATATTTCTATACGGTCAGCCACAAAAACTTTTTCAATCCATTGACTGGAATTTTTAGTAATATTCGTTAATAGTTTTTTTTTTTTTTTAATCTGCAAGTCACAATTTTTTTTCTTTTTGTAATTCAGTCTAAATTTCTATCGTAAAAATGACCACTATGATTTGCTTTCTTTGGGTGGATAAGCTGTACTTCGTGATCAGCCCTGTGCAACAATATATCTTTTCCTTCACTCTCATCACTCAACACTGGTGAGTGCTGTTCTTAATCAGTACACTGCTTATTTATTTATACATTTTTGGGGGGTGCCAAGTTCAAAGACCATAGCAACTGCCTATTTAAGATGAATATTACAGTATTTTATTTTCTTCTACTCTAAACACCACATATTTGTTTAATTTGAGTCCTTAAGGGCCAGTTTACTCTACAAAAATGCACTCTGGATGCATTCCGGATACGTGTTTGCGTACAGTTTACACCACATGCAGTTCCAGTGCAGTTTTGATGCAGTTTGCCATGTTCCGGTACGGTTCTGTGCAGAAAAAATTTAAAAACGTTCTACTTTTTTTTTTCTACACCGGAAACTGCACTAGTGTGAACCAGGGCCACTGGAATACATGGGAAAACACTGTGCATGCATTTTTGATGCAGAAAAAAAGTGCACTGAGCTGCGTCTAGTGTCAACTAGCCCTTAGGCCCGTTTACATCAGAACATGTTTGCACTGCATGCCATGTGCGTTTCCTGAATCACCCACATGGAAGAAAAATATATTTGAAATATATTTTAAAAATATTCTTCCCAAATATATTGCCATATATTTGAAATGCTACAATTTTGGTTAAATTCAATATATTTAAAATAAATCAATATATATATATATATACTGCATGTTGAAATGCATTTTTATTACAAAATATATGAAAAATATTTATATATGAAAATACATTTCAAATATACTGTATGTCTTTAAAAATACAAATCTACATTTTTGGAATGCATTTACAAATTTTTGTAAAAATATATGTTAAAATTACTTTTTTATATGTTAAAAAAAAGTCTGAAAAATATATTTAAAAAATATATATTTTCAAAAATATATATATTTTTAAATATAATCTGCAGATTTCTTTTAACATATAAAAAAGTACTTTTAACATATATGTATATATATGTATTTGTACATGGATTCCAAAAATGTAGGTTTGTATTTTTAAAGACATACAGTATATTTGAAATGTATATTTAAAAATATTTTCATATATTTTTGTAATAAAAACTCATTTCAACATGCACTAGACGCAGTTCAGTGCACTTTTTTTCTGCATCAAAAATGCATGCACAGTGTTTTCCCATGTATTCCAGTGGCCCTAGTTCACAGTAGTGCAGTCTCCGGAGCCGAAAAAAGAAGTAGAACGTTTTTACATTTTCTCTGCACAGAACCGTACCAGAACATGGCAAACTGCATCAAAACTGCACCGGAATTGCGTGTGGTGTGAACTGTGTGTGTGTGTGTATGTGTATATATATATATATATATATTTATTGAAATATGTTGAATATGGACAAAATTGTATTTCCAATATATGGCAATATATATGGGAAGAATATTTTAAAATATTCTTCAAATATATTTTTTCTTCCATGTGGGCATGTTCAAAACACACTACAGTTGCGATCTGCAGCGGGTGTCAATGTTATGTTTACAACACTCCAAACACAGGTCACAAATGCAGTGTATTTGTCTGCACCAGATTGCATGGTACAGTAGTACCATGCAATCCAGTTGCAATGCATTTTTTAAAGTGGTGCATGCACTACTTTTGGTGCAGTCCAGTGCAATTAAGCCATTCAAAATGAATGGTCTCAAATTGCAACGCATGTGAATTGCACATTGAACATGCAGCACGTTCCTGTGCGATTCCTGGTGTGAAGCGGCCCTTAGATTTGAGTGGAATTTTTGGTAATATTTATTAGTGTTTCCTTTCAGTCTGCCAGTTGCCTTTCTCAGTTTAATTCTTTCTGAATTACTATAGTAATTAGGACCATAAATAAACAATTCTGTTGTCTTCCAAACCCAATTCTTCTACAACAGTCAAGTTATCAATTGGCTGGTGTCATAACTGATCACATGTGCAGCTCCATGGCAACTGTAGATCAAACAGAGGCTAACATGGTGGTAAATGATAGGAGGATTCAGTTCTGCTTTAATAACCAGTGCTTGTCTTAGGCAGAAAAAGAGATTCCTCCAAAACAACAGTATGAAAGTTTTATCTGGGCAGATAAAATAAGAGCAATTAAAATCAACACAAAGAATAGATGTCACAACTACAAGCTGACCATCTATAAATGGCTAAAAAAAAAAAGCAAGTGATGTGCTAAACATAAGTAATGGTCCCCTTTACTGCAGAGGAAGATTATACAACCTGCAGCACAATTTCCTTTGGAGGTAGGGAGTAATTCATAGTGATATGCATCTTGATGGTTGCCACAGATTGTATCTAAACCCAGAACTTTATTTTTTGGATAGAGTAGGAAGAAATTAGAACCAGGCCGGTGCCACCAATGAGGCAAACTGGTGGTGCACACAGTGGGGAATTGCACACAAACACTCCATGGGCCAAACAGCTTCATCGTTTGTTATGGAGCAGATGGCTGTCTGCACCATAACAACCAGTGACACTGCGTGTCCCAGCAACCTGCATCTTAGCAACCAATGACACCGTGTGGACAGAAGCCAGCATCCTAGCAACGAATGACGCTGCCACACAGCATCTTTTGTTGCTAAGATTTAGGTGGCCCCTTCCACACAGCGTCCTTTGTTGGGCGGATGCAGGCAGCCTCTGCCACACATTGGCTGTGTCACATGTCACTGGTTGTTATAGTGCAGCTGGCCGTCTGCATCCTGGCAACTAGCAATGGGGTGGCATCTTCCCCAATTGAAACCTCTCCCAGGTTTTCAATGCGGTCTGTGTCCCCATTAAGGAGATTCTCTCTCGCTCTCTCTCTGTACCGGGGATCACTGCCACTGGGACTAAAATTGGGATAATCCTAAAATTTGGGATTTCACCAGAACTGGCTTCTCCCAATTAGAACCTCTCCCAGGTTTTCAACGCTGTCTGTGTCCCCATTAGGGAGATTCTCTCTCTCTTTCTCTCTCTCTCTCTCTCGTCGTGCTCTCTCTGTACCGGGGATCACTGCCACTGGGACTGAAATTGGGATAATCCTAAAATTTGAGATGTCACCAGAACTGTCTTCTAATGACAATAATGACAACTGTCTGAAAGGAAATTCTCCCCATTTTGTAGAGTTATTTAATCACTGGCTATCAAGTTGATGGGGAGGAAAGGGAAAAGTTTCCAAATAGGACAGATGGCAAAAAAATAAAAAATTACAAGAGTTTTAACTATTACCTGCTACCAAATGAAAAAATAAAGGTTGTTTGCTTTAGATATACGTTATTCTAAATTGTTCTGTAATCTCTTAAGTGCCATTATAAAATTAAGAGAAAAAAAATCAAAATAATCTTTATTGCTCACTATCAGCTTTGCATTATAATTGAGTTGTGAAGATGAGCATCGAAGAACGTGTGCCATTCAACAACACTTTAAGTCTGAGTTGCCATTTGCAGGCTTGAGAAAAACATCCAGTGGTTACAATCCTTTAAAACTTTTTAAGATTTTTCTATCCTTTTATCTTGGAGAATCGATGGCGGTCCAGGTGAAGTAAAAAGCAGAAGGCATAATGGAATTGTAGGATGTCAAAGACTTTGGACCAGAAATGGCCAGTTAGTCTCTGAAACAGGACAAATTGGGCCAACCAATGGTCAAGAAGCTTTAATCCAACAAAACCAAAGCAAGAGATTACAGCAAAGATCAAGTACTTCTTTGAGGAAGAGTCTCCATGCCTGTTCTGTAATCTGAAGCCGGAAACCATCGCCCATAGGATATGTACAGCCAGGGCGACTTCAAATCCTTGTGGGTGAAATGTACTGAGAAAATAACTGCTTAATGACAGGACCTCTATTAGTAAGAACTGCCGCCTGTTCCAATGTCTCAGTATGGAGTTGCACCAGATGATTGCCCATGCGAACATTGGCAAGGTAAACCACTGATCGAGAACTGCAGAGCTGTGTGTCTGAGAAGATATCCGCACCCACTGGACTGGGCCGTAGGCCAGTGCCATCCAGCAAAAGACATTCTTCAGATAACTACCAGTCCGGTCTTTAATTCCAGTAGTTTTCTCATCTTGAACGAGCCAGTATATGCCCAAAAACATGTATCCAAGATTGATGAGGGAGTTGAAAGGCATTGATAGAAAAACAGGAAGTGCAGAACTTGGTTTCTCAGCATAATGACTAAATCCTAGTTCTGTGGTGACAGTATCCAAAACTCCTGTGCTCACAGTCAGCAAGCACAGTGTAAAACCTCCTGCCACGTGCCAGAGAGAGCTGCCTTGCTCTAGAATATGTGCTACTTTCATGTCTCGATATGATACTCTTTGTTTCACAGTAGTGCTGTTGAATTGCTGAAGAATGCAGAACCTGCTCACAAGCCGCAAGTAGGCAGGGACGTCTTTAACGTATTAACCTCCACCCCCTCTTCAGTTGCTAAAGCTCTTCCTGAATGTGGCTACGCAGAGAGGCGTCCCAGTGCTGCAGAGGTCACGATTGGCTGCTTGCTTGTTTCATGAATTCTCTTGCACTTTGCACAGTCTCCAGCCAATTAGGCTGCGAGTTTAACCCAGAGCCAGCAAACTGGGAAAGGTTTTTTTTTTTTTTTTTTTCCTTTAAACTGCATTTTGCTTGAGTTGTCTAGTTGTTATCGAAATCTATTACATTAGATTCTTCACATGTGAGAATACAATTAGTAACCATTATTCATGTCATTTAGATCACTGTAAAGAAATGTATTTGGGGTCCATGTACACTAGGGGCAGAGAAAATAGAGTTTGTGGACATTTGCTTTTAGAAGCGTTTTTGTCCCCCCAAAACATTCCCCTGCTCATTTTTCAATGTACACATGAAAATGTAAAATGCTCCAAAATAATGCATTTATGAGCGTTAAGCATTTTTTCTGCCCGAAAGCTCCTCTCAAAAACACAATCATGAAGGGCTTTTTTTTTTCCTGCCTCTAAACGCTCCTTTGTAAAAATGTCTGTAAACTCTCTAATGCGCATGGACACATAGGCTAACACAGAGCTGTAGGAAAAAAACGCAAAACACCTGTATGAGCATCATTTTTATATCCAGTGTGCATGGACGTTAAAAGAGTGACCTCCTAATCTTCCCCCCCCCAGCCCGCGCCCCCCACCCTCTCCATCACGACCAACAATGCCATCATCAGTCCCACCCCGCAAGCCAAAGTCCTAGGTGTCACTCTAGACTCAAACTTGTATTTCCAACCCCATGTCCAATCGTTGACAAACTCATGCAGGCTCCACGTCCGCAACATCTCCAAAATACGTTCGTTCCTAACCCCAGACACTACTAAACAACTCGTTCACTCCCTTATTATCTCACGTCTGGACTATTGCAACTCCCTCCTCACCGGCCTACCTCATCGCAGACTATCCCCGCTTCAGTCTATCCTGAACTCAGCGGCCAGACTCATCCACCTTACCAACCGCTCCGCTTCTGCCACCCCCCTCTGTCATTCCCTGCACTGGCTCCCGATTGCCCAATGCATTAAATTCAAACTACTAACACAGACATACAAAGCCTTTCACAACGCTGCCCCAAACTACCTCACTGACCTGATACCCAAATACCACCCAACCCGTAATCTTCGCTCATCACAAGACCTCCTACTTTCTAGCTCCCTGGTCTCCACCTCCCACGCCCCGACTGCAGGACTTCTCCAGGACTTCCCCCATCCTCTGGAACTCACTACCCAATCCATCAGACTGTCACCTACCCTCCTCACCTTTAGGCACACCCTGAAAACCCATCTCTTCAGGGAAGCCTACCCTAACCTCACCTAACAGCCGATCTCCTCCAGTCCTCCTACCACTCCATCCCCCACAGCCACTTCCTCCTGTACCACTATCCCCTCCCTCCAAGATTGTAAGCTCGAAAGAGCAGGGCCCTTGACCCCCTCGTGTATTGTTTTGTTGTATTGTTTGAGCAAACCTTTCTCGCGCTATATAAATACTGTATAATAATGTTGTTCCAAGGGTTGTCTTGGCAGAAACAAAAGTTGGCTGATAAGCCTGCTTTTGTACAAGCCAGTGAAAAATTCTCAGGTGAAAAATTCTCAGCAGAACACTGACTGCATCCAATCAGGTGTAGGCACTGTTTGGAAACACTGAAAACTGACAGATGGATCTAAAAAAAAAATAAATCCCCTGCAAGTAAAGGCATAAGGTGCTAGCATGCATCGCATCGCATGCAAAACTTACCTTAAAACAAAGCCCTCCAGCGGTACGTTGTCACTGCTGTAGAAGCTTCCATCTTTACCTGGTCTTCTCTCCAGGTTCACAAGCTCCAGTCATTTAGCTGGCTGAGCTGTGATGATGTCGCTCCTGCGCATGCGCACAGGAGTCTTGGGACATGGCGCAGTGCTCTGAAGGAACGGCACGGGTATGCCATTCCTTCAGAGTGCATACGCTGCTGTAAGAAAAACCTGAATATCTATTAAACGGTACAAGTTTAGGGGATATTGAGAGAGGGAGAGATTAGTTCTTTCTCCCTCCCCTTCTCCTCTTGCTCTTAATTAGGCTCCAGTAGAGGGCAAAAACATGTTATCTTCCCGGGGTCCTGGGTGGAATTCTTGTGCTGAAAGATAAAGTCAATTTTACCCTCTGGAAACCGTGTGCGGCTACAGAATTTTGCTGAGTTATTCATGTGACAGACCTCCTGGCACCCCGCCTGGGTGCTTCCATCAGAACACTGCTTCCTCAGGGCTGGGACACAGAACCAAGGTATTATGGCTGAGCATTATGCCCAAGAATCAGACAACACTAGCTTAGGTGCAACCAGGAACTCTCTTTATTGGAAATTCACCACCCAGATCAGAATTTATACCCCACAGAATCAGATAAGAGCTTGATCACGTGATCCTAAAAAATGCAACCGTTAACCGCTTACCCGCCGCCATATAGCAGATATACTGCTACACGGCAGCACGGGTGCGCAAAATCACGTATATATACACGATTTTGCATTTCCAGGTACGGGGTGCGCGTGCCCCTACCCACGCCGCCATTTGTGGCCGCTGATGTCAGTCACTGGGTCCCGGCCTGTGATTACTGACAATCACCGACAGGGAGGAAGCACACTCCCCCGCCCCCTAGTAAAGCACTCCCTACACACAGTTAACCCTTTGATCGCCCCTCACATTAACCCCTTCCTGCCCAGTGTCATTAGTACAGTGTCAGTGCTGGTTTTTAGCACTGATCACTGTATTGGTGTCAGTGACCCCAAGTTAGTTCCTCACCCCACTGACACCATTGATGGGGCACTATTCCTCCCCCCACTGACACCAACGATGGGGCACTATTCCTCCCCCCACTGACACCAACGATGGGGCACTATTCCTCCCCCCCACTGACACCAACGATGGGGCACTATTCCTCCCCCCACTGACACCAACGATGGGGCACTATTCCTCCCCCCACTGACTCCAACGATGGGGCACTATTCCTCCCCCCACTGACACCAACGATGGGGCACTATTCCGCCCCCCCCCCCACACTGACATCAATGATGGGGCACTATTCCCCCCCCACTGACACCAATGATGGGACACTATTCTTCCCACACTGACACCAATGATGGGGCACTATTCCTCCCCCACTGACACCAATGATGGGGCACTATTCTTCCCACACTGACACCAATGATGGGGCACTATTCCTCCCACACTGACACCAATGATGGGGCACTATTCCTCCCACTGACACCAACGATGTGGCACTATTCCTCCCACTGATACCAACGATGGGACACTATTCCTCCCACTGACACCAATGATGGGGCACTATTCCTCCCACTGACATCAGTGATGTGGCACGATTCCTCCCACTGATACCAATAATGGGGCACTATTCCTCCCACTGACACCAATGATGGGGCACTATTCCTCCCACTGACATCAGTGATGTGGCACGATTCCTCCCACTGATACCAATAATGGGGCACTATTCCTCCCACTGACACCAATGATGGGGCACTATTCCTCCCACTGACACCAACGATGTGGCACTATTCCTCCCACTGATACCAACAATGGGACACTATTCCTCCCACTGACACCAATGATGGGGCACTATTCCTCCCACTGACATCAGTGATGTGGCACGATTCCTCCCACTGCAAAATTACAGTTATGAAGTAGCAAAGAAAATAATTTTTATGGTTGGAGGTCACCACAACAAGAGGAACTGTATTAAAGGGCCGCGGCATTAGGAAGGTTGAGAACCACTGTCTTAGACTGATCTGCCCTCTCCATGGAATCAGAGGCTGAACTGAGCTCTTTTCCATGCTCTGACCGGGAGAAGCAGACACAATCCACGGTCTCCTTCATGGGCCATAATCAGTGGGTAGAAGGCTGGCCCCTAGTCTCCTCCAAAAGCCCCTCTCCCAGTTGGGTCTGTCACAATTTGTATTAGTAATTTCCCCGCAAGGAACTTATAGTGGCCCTACCACAATCGCACACATACCGCAGACAATTTTGGGTGGATGATGATTAACCTAAAGGCTGGATAACCCAACAGAAACCCTCAACAAATACAGAGCATATGAACTCCATGCAGGCCATGTTCCTGGTGGGAACTAAATTGTAAATGTAAATGATAAAAAGCCACAGTGCCGAATATTTTTTTAGCGTTGCCCAAAATAGTTGTTTTTTTTACCTTCCAACACTTACTTACATTGGAGACCTACTGTGTGTTTTGGCATACTGTCAGTTTCCATGGAAACACAGCACATACAGGTGATGTTAGGTGTGAGGAGTCTCATTCAGCGGCTTAGAACACCACTGTAAGTAACACCTAATGTTTCCAAAAACTCATTTCTTCATAGTAACCATATGGACAATGGATGGGTCTTGGCTAGTACTGGTGAACTGAGCTCAGTCAGAATCAGAATAGGAGACAAGTTGTAATATTACTTTTTCAAAATATTCTGAAATTAAAACATCAAAGAACAAACAAACAAAAAAAACATGCTTAACTTGATTTCCCATCTCCTCCCAACATACTGTTTTCGCTACATGAGTCCTTTAACGGATCTCAGTCATGATTTTTAAAGCCAGCCATACACCAGTAAAATTTTGTTCAAGCATTCATATGAAAATTCAGCAAACTCATTTGTCAGTGCATTCCATGGTGCCATCTTGGACTTGACAAATTTTGTATGATAGTTCAATTGCCGTGTCAATGTGTCAAAATCAAATGTTTGGAAATACTAGATATTCTAAATCTATTAAAATATGTTTCCACTTGAATACACCATACCTGCCTTTCTCTACCTTTTCAACACAGAGGGACCCTTGAAATACCTTCCTGGTCTCAGGGAACCCCTGCTAAAAATGACTATATCTACATCTCATGATACATTAGTGTGA